CTTGCCCATGTTCTTGCTGTCCTTAAGCGCTCTGTCGTCATGGTGTTCGGACCGCATGGCATGTATCTTTGCTTACGTCCATTTGGGTGTGTTCAGCCTCGTGACAAGCCACAGCATGCCTCAGTATGCCAAGTACAAGATCGGGATAGAAGAGCTTCCGCCCACCTTCGCAGAAGATGTTGCATTGGAGTAGAGAACTCTTCAAGACTCAATGGCCTCGATGGTCCAGTTCAAAAGCCCAGACAAGTACATAGAGCAGGCAAACAAACGCATAGGAGACAAGATCTCCGGCTTGCTTGGCTTGCCTGCGAGTTTTTGGGGTCAGCACGTTAGCTCGGATTCCGATGCCGGACCCACTCCCACCATCCATGGCGCTCCCTTGACGACCGCCGCGGCAGCCGGGCCACCCAAACGTTTGGGTACTTTCGTCTACCCGATTCCTGCCCGCAGGGTCAAGACCAAGTCCAGTCCCGCTGCTGGTGCTTGCACAGCGCCAGTCAACATTGATGAACAGGAGACTCTCGTTCAGCCGGGGGAAGATGATCTTGGTCAGGCGGACCCTGATGAGGAAGCAGCCCAGTACCTGAACGCATAGACGAAGAGGCCGCCCTATGCCAGTGAACTGAGCAGAGGAGTAGCCAGCACTGTCATGGTAGTACAGACCCAATGGCTGCCGTTCCAGAGCAAGTGGAGAAAGTTAATGTCGCTGCAAGCTCCTGCTTTTTTTGTCCACTTGCTGCTGCTGCGGCGGCATGTCTGGGCTGATAGCAGGCGTCTGGCCTCTAGTCCTGCTACTCGCATCGAACTGTGATCAGCATGTTGCTTACTCTTCTTGTGTACAACCCGGCTTAGGTGCCTTACATGACCATGGAAAGCAGATCACCAAGAAGAAGCCATCTTGCCTCTTCCCGTTCCCGAAGAAGAGCAAAACTCGTTTTCTCTTGAACGACAACTTGACGAAAACGCCGACAAGTAGCAAAGCCCAAATGAAGAAATGGCGAAAGACGCCGTACGTCAAGAACCCCATCAGGATCCGTGCTGACCGCTTGAGATGGAAGAGGAACTTGAAAGACTTCATCGGTGCTGACGAGGAACCGAAGATGGCCTGCTGCCGGGCTGGGCTCGCATGAGGTGTCCTTTCTGCAACATGGGGGCTGTCTCAGGCCTTCAGTCCAGGGGACTGTTGACTCCACGGTACCGCTGCAGACGCAAAGCCTGCCGAAGTTCATCCTTCCCCAACATCTGCGTCCCATCTTCACATCAAGCATGGGGTCGGAAGGACGCCCGCTAGCCATACAAGCAAGTGCCCTTCTTCTTCGACTTGCAGGCATGACGCTCAGCTCCATCCACATCGTCTTGGGCATCAGCCACAAGGCGCTCGAGAACATCGAGAAGAAGCTAGCCACTACAAGAAAATATTTCGTAGATGCAGAGCAAGCCCGCGTGGTGCTCCGGAACGGCAAGAGCACGAAGTGGACGGAGATAGAAGCCGATGAGGCCGTCTTCGACAAGTGTTTGATCGCGGCAGAGGATGCTCCCAATGCTCCCAATCCCCGCAAAACCATGAAGTGGGAGCAGTGGTTGGGCATGGTGCCCCGTGAGAAGCCTTCCTCTCTCGTCTTGTTCCGATTGCTTTCCTTGACCACACACAAGAGAGCCCCAGGCCCAGGAGCCGTGCGCAAGGAGGAGTCGGTCAAGATCGCCAACAAGTGGCTCAAAGATCGCTCGATCATCTTGCGCACCGACAGTCCTCGGAGCTATCGGACTAAGATCCGTGGAGTACTCCATGATGCTGTTGTTCACCAAAACAGAAGGTGCTGCGTGGAGGAAAGATTGTTTGGAAGCCCCCCACCTTCGTCCGCCTGGCAAAGCACAAGCTCCCCAATGCAGCGGGGTAAGGACATGTGGGCCAGCACTGCCACCCAATTCTCACCTGGCACATGGACAACATCACGTCAAGGCACAAGGGGGCCCAGACTTCGAAGCGGACACATGCGGGCCAGCACTGGCAACCATCTCACCTGGCAGGATCGCGACAAGGCGAAAGGGGGCCTAGACCACGAAGCGGGCATGCTGCGGGTTTAAGAATTCGCATGCTCCTGTTGCACCAGCTCCATGTCTGCTGATCTCCAATCCGACATCCTCTGAAATCCTCTGGCATACGCCCTGGAAAGCCACGGAACGGTAGATAACTGAGGGGGGGTGGGGTAGCATACATACATACATACATACATACATACATACATACATACATACATACATATATATATATATATATATGTATATGGTTGTGCGCTGTGCGCTGTGCGTTCTGCATCCCCCCCCCCGCCAATGGTATGGGTCTCAAATACAAGTGGGGGAGGGCGAGCGGGGGTTCTCCTTGCTCCCCTGGAGCACACAAATGCCGAAGCACAGAACCGCGGAAGCGGGCTGTCCTGTTCGTGGCACAAACTAGGGGCGATGGGCGGCAGAAACGAAGTAGAGAAGAGGACACATCCCACATGCCACAAGGCAGCACCCTCACACCGGGACAGGGACATACAGCACTTCCTTACCAGGACAGCATATACGAAAAGAGAACAGCACCTGTTCCGCGGAAGCAAGGCGGAGTATAAGTGGTCCAGAAGTATGTGTGTGTGTGTTATGGTCCATATATGCATGTGTGTGGTTTTGTGTATGTATGTATGTATGTATGTATGTCAGTAGAAGTAAGTATGTGTGTGTATGTGTGTATGTATGTATGTACGTATGTAAGTATGTAAGCATGTGAGTATGTATGCATGCATGCATGCATGCATGCATGCATGCATGCATGCATGCATGTATGTATGTATGTATGTATGTATGTATGTATGTATGTATGTATTTGTGTGTGTGCGCCTGACGCAGTGCCCGTGTGCTCCATTAGAACCGAAGTTCAAACGATCATGACACGTCCTTAGCAGAGCAGCACAGCACACACGTTTCCAGAGGCAGAAGAAAAGGAAACCCAGTCCTGTTCGACATGGGGGGGCGGGGGTTCTCCTTCCTCATCTGGACCACACACATGCGGATGGAAATTCACAAGGCCACAAGCAAGTGTGTGTGTGTGTTATGGTCCATGTATGCACGTGCGTGTGTGTATGTCTACATTGGGCCATACATACACAAGCAAATGTGTGTGTGTGTGTGTGATATGTATGTACGTATGTATGTATGCATGTATGTATGTATGTGGTTGTGTATGTATGTATACAGCGGGGCCATACGTCCACGGGCACATGTGTGTGCGCCCGTGTGATCCATTAGAGCCGAACTTCACACGATCATACCACTTCCGCAACAGGACACCGCACACGTTTCCAGTCCCGTTCCACAAGGGGGGGAGGGGGTTCTCCTTCCTCATGTGGACCACACACGCAGATGGAGAATCACGGGGCCAAAAATGTGTGTGTGTGTGTGCTATGGTCCATGTATGCACGTGCTTGTGTGTATGTTTACACCGGGCCATACATACACAGGCACGTGTGTGTGCCCGTGTGATCCATTAGAACCGAAGTTCACACGATCATACCATTTCCGAAACAGGACAGCACACGCGGTTCCAGAGGAAGAGAAAATGGAAACCCCGCCCTGTTCCACAAGGGGATGGGGGGGGGGCGGGGATTCTCTTTCCTCATCTGGACCACACACATGGATGGAGAATCACAGAGCGGCGGAAGCAGGCTGTCCCGTTCCCAGGTGGGGGGGAATACATCATCAGTGTATACTTGTAGATGACATGAATCATGTGGCGGGCGAGGGGGGAAGGGCGCATGGATGCAGAAGAACCGCAGACCGAGGGCCGCAGGAGAAGGAAGTATGTCCCGTTCCACAGAGGCGGGCGGCGCGGGGGAAACATATGTGTAATTGTGTATATACTGAACCATGCGCGGGGGGAGGATGCACACAGCGAGAGAGAGAGAGGAGTCAACGCGTTGGTTTGTTAGTTTGTTTTGTTGTTCGTTAGTTCGTTAGGCTCATGTGTTCGTTTGTGCTGGGTTATTAGTTAGTCAGGCAGTTAGTTATAGGTTTTTGCGGTTCTTTATAGCGAGGTAATTACATAAAAATGTATATAGCTATGTACAGTTGTGTCTGCAAGTATGTATGTGCTGCAACATGCAGAGATGGATTTGCATGTATGCATGTATGTCTGTGTACATATAAATTATAACTGTCAACTTTGTATTTATGTTTAAACACACTCCTGCACAGATAAGTGTGTAACTGTATGCATGCTTGCACGTGTTCACATGTGTGTATGTGTGCAGAAGCTTTTATGCACACATTATATGCATGTGTATGTATATAAAGCTTATGTTGTTACTTCTTCTTGTTTGCCGCATGTCTTTCACGAAGCAGCAAGTGGATGATGATGCTCAGTTGGCCAGGCACTGCCACCACGAGCACTCTGTCGTCAGCAACTTGCACAAGTTACATGTCGCTACCTGTTGCATTGCCGGCCAGAGCTACACCATTCTATCACGTTGCAACGCGTGCCAGTGGTAAGCTGTGATCCTTCAGGGTAAAATCCCAACACGAAGGCAGGTTTTTTTTGTTTCCCTGCGGCGGTAAGGTCCGCACACGCAGCAGGTCAACGCACGAGGATCGCAGGCATTCACAAAGCAGCAGGAGGTTTCAACCGATATACCCACCCAACGGCGGAAGCATTGTTGATGCGTTGAGGTTGAGGTCACGAACATAATGGGAAAGTCTTGCTGTTGAAGTCCAGAATGAGTCTAAAAGCACTCTGTGTCGGGGTCGGGGTTTCCACGGCGATTCATGCCGAGGCTGAGGAACAGCGCAGCACGCAGTTACAGCACGGGTGCATTCCTGTTGCTGCCTTCCAAGTCATGGTCCTGCAAAGCCTGTTGTTAGCATGTTCTGGCAGCCAAAATCGGTTTTGTTTTGTTCGAAGACTGCATGGTCGTGTCGGGCTGATGACTTTGCTCGGCATCGTGCCTCATGCTCTGCCAGCTGAGGTGACCAGGTCAAGCACGACAACATCATCTCAAACTCGTTCTCTGACAATGCCTCGCAACCGATGTATAGTTTAGATTTAGATTTGTTTGGGTGTTACGCTGCGGAGTCACAGTGAAACTCGAGTGACAAATGTGGGATACGTTGGATAAACATGTCATGATTCTGCTGAACACCCCTGCACTTATGTTGTTTGACGGGCAATTGAAACAGTGCTGCTGTGTCCATCTTCTAAGGACTGGGACAACTCTCTCTACAACCCAGACCGTCCTCCGCCCGGTAGCGGCGTCTGGGCGATGTTGTAAGCTGTGATTTTCGCAAGTGCATATGGTGCGCCGGATATTTCAGGCCATTCACAAGTCAGAAAAGCCCGCGAACAGTTCACATGCTTTCGTGTTGAAGGGAGAGTGCAGTTTGCTTCCACCTGTCTGTCCCGCCCTGCCCCATTGACCTGTTATGTGCTATCCACTCCGTCGCACTAAGAATGCGAGCATAGTGTCCCTGACACTGCCGATTTGCGACCCTGCCATCCTCCGGGCTGTGAAGACTGCCTCTCGAAACGCACCAGCTGATTCATACTGACAGTAAACGATTGGGTTCCTGAACCCTGCAGCTACGCTCACGCTCGTCTGAGGGTGAGTGCGTTACCTGCTACGTGAATTGAAGATGCCGATGAAGATATTGATGAATGGCCTGCGTGCTTCCCGATTTAAGATCCGGGATTTCGTTTTGAATTCTGTTTATAGAGACAGGGAGTATGCAGTCAAGAGTAGCTGTCAGCTCCAAGGGATTTTCGTTTCAAACGAGGTGGTTTTGTCTTCCAGGTGTGCGGTGTGCGCAGTCTCTGTTGCTGTGCAGAGTGTGTGAATGTAGAACTATGTCGCAACATCACAAGCTTGGATAAACTTGGGAGCTTTGGCGATCTTTCCAAGGATTTGTTTGCAGAGATGAATCGCTTTGTCCCTGCCCCAGACATGGATCCTTTGTTTCTAGCTTGATGAGAACCAGACTCTATTCCCTCAGGTCTGTCCTTCGTGACTGGCATGCTGTTGGCATACACTCCTGTGCACTCGCACTGCCATCTTGCCCATATATCACGTCTAAGTTGAGCTCAGTCAGCCCAGCATCGAGCCCTCAAGGCGTCTGGAAACGGGGGAGCAAATCCCACTGTCGGCTTCAATTCTTGTGAGTTGTTGTTATAAAAACAATTCAAGGGCTTTGCAGCCTTTGGGCAGTTGGAGAGTTCGAGGTATGAACGGGGGAGAGATTGGGAAATGTGTCTCTTGTAATTCTTTTCGGGCGACTGTGACGGCCACGAAAGGATTGTTGAACCAGTGACCGGCCTCCGCTTGTGCATTCCAATCCTCTCCGAGCGGGGGTCGCAGTCGCAATCACAACAAGCTCATACTGTAGGTGCTATATGAACTTGGGCACCTGCGGAGCAGAGCAAGCTGTGAATTCAATCGGCACTCCTTGCAGACAGGATGCTGCATTGCCCTGCAAGCATTCGACCGGGGGTGTCCTTACCTGCTAGCAAGACCACATCATAGCAAAGTACTCCTTCAGCAGGCATCCATCGGCGAAAACTTGGACTGCAAGGACGTCGCTGGCTTGCAGCTGCCGGGCATGTCGGGTATTTTGCGCTTAGGTATCCGTCGAGATCTCTGAGAGAGAGCAATGCAGTTTCAAGGGCCTTTCCTCGATGTGGACAGCTTCCGAGGTCTCAGGCGAGCTGCTGGTTTTCATGGCTCTGAAACGGTGCCCCGAGGACATGCAGACACAGACGGGTCACCCAGTTAGATCTATCAAAGGAGTGCTTTGACTGTATCGTCGCACAAATTGAGTTTCTCGCACTGCTTGCCTCATCGCACTGCTTGCCTCACATTGCTAATGGCCTAATTCCTCAGCCCCTGAGCACCGCGAAGATCGAAGGAGACGTTGCAAGCGTTGGTGAAGACCTCAGAGCACTGCTTGCATCTGCGAGGCCTTCGTAGACATCTCATTCATGGCGGTGAATCCTCAAGTTGGCTTTCTGAAGGCATGTCTCTATGCCATCCGTTTCCATGCACGTCCGTCAAGCTTGGCCTGGGCATTAACATCTGCCTGACATCCCCGATTGAAAATTGTCGACTCGAGGAGCTCAGGTAGCACAGTTCCAGCTCAGACACCCGCATTTTATTCGAAACAGTCTGCGACCGGGTATGACACCATCCGGCGTTCCTGCTCTTCAGCCTCACCTGGCGACTGCATGACTCCATCTGAAACTGGATATGTCACTATAGTGATCTCGGAGAGTACAATCACGACAACCCTGCAACCTAGACATCCGTTCGACTGCAGAAGCTGTTAGAGAGCTTCTGCAGTCAGAATAAATAAGGGTGTCAAAAAAGGCATCCGTTCGATCCTTGCGGGAGTAATGGATTTGGATGTGACTTGGTCAGTGTTACACCTCATTCAAACCGCAGCCTTTGCCAAACTTGCGTTCTTCTGGAGATGACATCGGCAGTTAGACTAGGGGCGATGAAAACACGAAAGATACCCACCGACCGTTCCTATGGCCTCGACGACATGGTCATGATTCCTGCAAGTGTCTGTCAACAGATGGTCGCAGGCAATGTGCACAGTTTATGTACGGAACAGTTTTCGGTAAACGCTATTGTCTGGCACTCAGTGTGGGTCGGAGAACATGCCCTTTCTCGTTTTCATGAAGCTCGGGGTACCCTATACACATTAGCCGTGCTTTTCCCACCGCAAGCCATGATATGACATGCCTTCATTGCAACTGTGAGTGGTTTCCGTCGCAGCCTGCGTGTGAAAGTCGAGCTTGGACAAAGGAGAACAGATCGCACGTACCCAGGGCGTTTTTGGTTCGGCCACCCTTGTCGCCTGTTAAAGAAGCGGTCCCTTGCCGTGGTGTCTATCTATAGGAGCTCCTCGAGTTTGTCAGGGGCACCCGGGAGGGGCTGAACTGGCGCTTCTCTGGCAGTACTCCCGTGAAGCTATATCAAGTACAGAGTTACGAGGCTGAAGGGCCATGTTGGGAGCCCAGGTGCTGAGTCTCTCGCCTACCTCGCCAAGCTTGTTTGCACAGAACAGCCGCATGACAGTGAGACAGTCCTACAGCGTCATGCCTCTTTGATGACCCGAATGACCCTGCCCAATTGCACCAAGAAAGCTTTAGCCTTCAATGCAGAACTTAGCAGGATGTAACCATCTCCTTGCCTCAGCCCGGAGCAGCGCCACTCTGCCACAACCATTTTGCAATTGGCGCCACCACTCGGCTCCAGTGCAGGAATTCAGAGTGCAGATGCGGGGCTACTGTATCTTGCATATTGTCATGTAGGCTTGATGCCGCAGTCGAAGAATAAATCCAAAACCCTCGTCAATGGAAGTCCCATGTCCCAGAAAGAAGAACAGAACGTGAAACGCACTCTTCGACTGGGGATGCCCCCTTTACAGAGAGCTGAAAGGCCACCTACATTTCAGTCAAGCCTGAGTCAAAGCGTTCGCTACAGCCACAGCCATGTGGGAACTTCGGCCCTTTTCTGCTGGATCTATTGGCAGTGTCGGTGGCAGGGAGGGCACGCCCACAAGCTCCAGCAATGAGGCTTCCACCGTAACCCTGCACGCTGAGATGCATTCATGTTGGGGTTCTGATTGAAGGTGAGACATTTGCTTGACAGGTGTCGATCTGCTTTGTTCTCTGATTATTGATGAATCTGCGGTGTTCTTGTCTCGTTGGTGTTGTGGATGTTCTTCTTCTTTGTGGCTGATCGTGATGTTCGTGCCGAGAGCCATGCCCTTTTTGGTCGTACAGTTTTCCGAAGAACAGTTCTGTGTGCATGAAAGTGTGTATGTACACATGCATGTACATGTAGGTGTGTGGGCGTCAATGTATGTATGGACGAGCGTATGTAAATTATTGTATGTATGTATGTAATGTATGTAT